CAGAAATCATTTTATACATATATGCAATTGTACATCCTCTCTCCCTCTCTTCATGTGGGACACTGATTCATCCAATGACCTAATCCTGTACATCCTGATAAAATATTATATCTAAATACCTAAATATGTCTAACTGTAATGTAGCCATGTGTCCACCTTAAAATGTATGCGCCTTGGCAACTGCCCTCAACTATTTGTCAAACATGGTTATATATAACAATTGTATTTTTTCCGGCCATTGACGATCTGCCTACCCTGCAAGAGATAAAGGCGTGAGTTATGCATGTATGTACTCTTGTTCGTTTTATAATAAAACTGATGGAATTCTTAAGACTCATATGTATAGATAGTTATACAACCATATCTACATATTGTTATTGCAATTTATGATATCTTCTGGACTATCGCACATAATGACCTCAATTATTACTGTAGGTACTGCTAACAGGAAAGACTATCAAGTTACTTGTTCATGATACAATATACGTGCATAGAGCCTTATCACACAAGCGGTTTTCGAGCAATTGCGGTGCGGAGCGGAGGCCCTCTGGATGCGCATCGAATACGTCGCGAACGCGCGGCGCATTCGCAACGTAAGCACAGGTACTCTAAGCAAGGGATAGTCTGTGGGTATAAGCCCCGCGAAAGAAAAACCAAACTACAAAATATGGCGACAGGATGTCATTCCCTCTCACTCTAACATACATCTTTATATACTCACACGCCGCGGTAACGCAAGCAAAATCAGAAACACAGTGCTTGTGTCTTTTAATGAAGAAAACTGTTATTGGATATTAAAAACTGAAAGAAAAACAGTGAGCGCGGCAAAGTTCTGCAAAGTGATTGATAACCCAAACAAAATGCTTTGCTGGCACTATCGGAAGAAACGGCCGCCATTTACAGATTGGTTCTTCAAACGCGGTCCGAAATTGCATGCAGTGGCGCATCCGCCGGTCGTTCACTCCGCTCCGTATCCGCTCGCAAACCGCTTGTGTGATAAGACCCTTGTAGTGCATTTACAGATGTGGGTAGGTATTCATGATAACCGGTTCTGTGTTGTGGTTGTGTTGCAAGTAGATAAAGTTACAGATCTAAATATGATACGATATACGTACATACACACACACATCACGCTTTAGTCCCTTAGCGGGGTAGGTAGAGCATAATGTTGTAGTCCTAGGGCAGGGTCGTTCGTTGAATTGATGTCCCACGCGACGAAAAGAACACTGAATGAATGACGAACATGGCAGTGGGTTAAGTTCCTTCTTAGAATAGCATCACTACATATCTTTCCCGTGGGTGTCGTAAGAAGCGACGAAGAGGTTTGAGAGTTGATGTACCTATTGCAATTTTAGGCGACTGGCTGACAATCTGTCACTATGGTGATACACCGTCTACTGAGTCCCTCTCAAACTTTAGTCAGACGTTGTGTAAATGGCCGTTTTTTACAGCCTTTTGCGGTCTCTGCCTACCTCACAAGAGATATAAGCGTGATATGTATCTTTGTCTGGAAGATAGTGACCTTGATCTTGAAACTTTAACTAGTAGAAAAAGCTCGCGGAAAATCCCACTCCTGAGTTCTGACACCAAGTTCACCTCCAATTTTTCCGCCATTCCTTTCAGAATAAGATGTTTCCATGCAATTATTTTCAAACTAGATTTTACCGGTTTCTGAGAGTGTTTTGGCTTGAGCGCGTGCCAAATAGTGTTGCCGGAATATCTGTAGTACTGCTATCGATAATTTTCATTCGAAAAATCTACAATCGATAGGCCAATCTTCTTCTTCGTGTGGGACACCAAGTCGTCAGTTTTTCAACCGTCTACTGCAAGTAGCAGGCCTCTGACATGGTTGCGTAACGACCGCCATCATAGACAGCAACCGGGACCGATGGCTTAACGGGCCCATCCGAAGCACGGAACCATCTTACTTGCGGACAATCAGGTGGTTCAGCCTGCAATGTCCTAACCAGACTAGAAACAAATTCACAAACTGATAAATATCAACTTAGTGTGTGACCCCACCGGTAATTGAGCCCGGAACCTTCTGCGTCGCAGGCAGTCGTACTAACCACTGCGCCACATCGACTGTCCAATTGATGAAACTGTAGCAATACTACCGACAAGGTGCAATACTCTCGATAATATCGATTTAAAATTGAAATCGATCATATTTATAATCATAATCAATATCGATAGTCTTTCAATCTTGATAATCGATACCACCGCTTATACAACGTGTTACAAAACAACCAATAAATCTCCCATACAAAGTGAGTTCATTTTGTATGGGAAGTCCAAATTTTTTTTTCGTTTTTTGACCCATATTCCATGGGGAAAGTTGTTCAGTTTCATGAGTACCTTGACCTCCTTTCAGCTTTTTTGGTTGTTTTGTAACACCCAGTATAATTTCGAATAGCATGAATTATTCTAACGTCCATAGATGAAGTTAAGTCCATCGATACTCGATAGTCCGCACTATCGAATGCCGACACTAGTGCCAAACAATACCTCGGTTGAATGGGTAGACAAGCGTAGACTTTGTGTCATTGTTTTAATGAATTATGCACTTATTTATGATTTTATGAATACCTAAACCCGTTAGCGGTTTTACCCACTGCAACTCATTTTCCCGAAAAATGCGTTTTCTCGATATGCATTATACCTACTTAAAACCTTCCTCTTGAATCACTCAATCTATTTAAAAACCCGCATCAAAATGCGTTGCGTGATTTAGGAGGAGCGAATTCACGACAGACAGACTTCATTTTATACTATGTATCGATTGACATTGATATACATATGTTGAAGTTTACTAAAGATTCATAGAAAGCTAAGTAATCGGGTTTTTATAATAAACAAAATAGAGAACAATATTTCTATTATTATTTTAATCAAAATAACAAGATTTTGTTTAAGGGTCGACGGACGACCAACTTTAATGTTATCTGTTCAAACCTTGAGTAGAAGTAGCATTCAATGTCATGTTACACAAACAATAGTGCGAAATCCTTCTAGATATAAGTACGTATCTTGCCGAAAATCTTTTAGATAAGAGTATAATAAGTACCTACTTCTTTCCTCGATAGGTAAGTAGGTATATAATAAATATCACAAGAAAAACCCCCAAGGTTTGTGATTAGATTAAGCACTCACTCACGTATTGTTTAGATATCGTCTTTAGGGTTTTTAGAAAAGAATATAGGCGACAGGGTTTGTTCGTACAACAGGGCTCATCCACACAAATTAGGGAGAGGGCGCGCGGGACGCCTTTACGGATGGCTCACTCTGTACTAGCGACGATTTTGACACTTACAGACGTTTAATAAAATTAACTGGTTGCCACGAACGTCATATTTCTTGCATTAAAATTGGCTCAGAATCATATTGCGTTCTTGTATGAGATTTGGAGCTGTATTTCGTCCCCGTATTAAATCTAGCAACCCTGGCTAAGTAACAAGTTACAATCGCGAAAATCCTAAGGGTCGAGTGATTCTTCGAGGATAACTGTTTTTTGTTTCTAACAAGGTAACAGTTAAATACTAATTTAAACAGACAGTACGATATACAAATGCATCATATTATTTTATTTTAATAATTTACTGTAGTAGATAAATAGTTATTTTTATAGGTATTATTGTCGCGCGTTCATTGCAAAACAATAAGTGTTGATAAAATATAACCTCCAGCGAAGTGTTTTTAAATAGATAACACTGTAAGTACCAGAATAGACAAGAAAATCACTACATCAATACTTAATACATAGTATAAAATGAAGTAACTTTTTGAGTGTCTGTCTGTCTATCACAGACACGGAAAATGCCAGAATACACAAGAAAATCACGACATCACCAATACATAGTATAAAATTAAGCTTTTTGAGTGTCTGTCTCTCGGTCTATCGCCGCCTACTCCGACTAAGCCACGCAGCGGATTTTGATGCGGTTTTCGATAATAGATAGAGTGATTCAAGAGGAAAATTAGTACAACAATAAATGCCGGAAAAACGACTTATTGCTACGACAAAACTTAGAAACGGGTGCAACGGCTAGGCGGGCCGCTAGGAATACGTACATACATACATATATCGCGTCTATATCCCTTGCGGGGTAGGCAGGGCATAAATAACTGTAAACAAATGCCCACTTAGACCACATCTGACAAAAGTTTGAGTCATCATAGAGGCAAGTTGTCAACCTATCGCTTAAAATTGCAATACATATATCAACTCTCATCTCAAGTCGCTTCTTACGACACCTACGGGAAAGATATGGAGTGATGTATCTAACTAAGCCGGCACCACAAGGTAATAATGAATACATGCCGGGAAAACGACTTACCCCTACGGGTAAAAGGTAAGCAGCAGGTAAAGCCGCTGTGCAGGCTACTAGTATCATAATAATCGCTAGTAACAGAATAAACAAGTCAATTCAACTGAATTATCACTTCTAGCTGTTTATTTACCAAAACTGAATTTTCCTTATCAGTCAATGACAATAGTAACTCGAATAGTGCTAAAACGCTTACGAAGAAAAGTATAAATAGCAAGAATAACAAAACAGTTTGCATTAGACTTTACGTAGGTACTTATCGTGCCCTCCAAAACACGCAAACAAGATTTATTTTTAGTTCTTTTTAGGGCATCTTGTTAATTCGTCGCCATATACCTAGTATAGATTAACATCCTCATATTTCTTTACCGCTGGTGTCTCAAGAAGCTACTAAGGGACTGGAGGGTACCATGTGCATTACTATTTTAAGCAACAGACTTACAGCTTGTTTCTGTACTTAAACTTGCCTACTACATACATATAAAATAATAAATAAATATCCTTGGACGAAACACACAGCGCCATCTAGCCCCAAACTAAGCAAAGCTTGTACTATGGGAACTAGACAACTGATATAATACTTATATACTTTTTTTTGTAAATAAATACATATTATACATAGAAAACACCCAGACTTAACACAAATATTTGAAAATTGACTTTACAAATATTTGTGTCCAGTGGGAATCGAACCCACGACCCTCGGCGTAGAAGGCAGGGGTACTATCCACTACACCATCGGGACACTACACCATATATCACGCCTATATCCCTTTGGGAGGAGGTAGAGCGTAAACGGCTGTAAAAAACGGCCATTTACAACATGTCTCTGGTATAAGAGAGCATGAATTGAGAGCATGGATTATGTGTCCTTCAGAAAACTAAAGTTGTCGGCCTGCCGCCTAAAATTGTAATACCCTCGAGTCCCTGAGTCGCCACTTACGACACCCGCGTTGAAAAAATGAGGTGATGCTATTCTAAGCCGGCATCAGACGGCTGTAAAGGTAAATATACAGGGTAAAATCAGCGGATCAGCTAATTTGAGTTACTATGGGAGGTCCAAATATTTTTTATTTGATATTTCGACCTATGTTCCTTGGGGAAAGTTGTTCCTTATCACCAGCCGGTTTTGAGTTTTCGCTATCAGTCACTAGTAAAATTTCACCCTATATTCTTCTAATCATTTTAGAATATTAATTCGTTACGTGGCGTATTGTAGATATGTTGTTTTGGACCTTGCACCCTGCTTGCACTTATATTTCAAAACATTATGTGGGTATTGTGTTACACTTTATCTATTGGCCTATTACGTTGCTTGTGAACTGTTCTTATCGCTTTGCAATTTTATTGAAGCTAAGCTAGTCATAGCGTAATTTCTAAAGTATTTATGAAAAAATGGGCCAACGCCTCTTGCATTATTCGTAAACAAACAGAGAAATAAGTTTGTATGAAAACTTGGCTCCAGGGATTGCTCGTAAGTCATATTATTGTTAATACAACTGCGATATCCGGATAGGTCCGTGGGTAGCGGAACTCTATCGCTTGACAATTTTTGTACCAATCAGAATACCACGGAGCCAAGTACTGCGTCGGTTCCGCTCAGGTTTCAATAGGGTCTTACCACTAAATAAAGAGTTCATAGAAGGTTCAGGAAGATGTAGGATTTTCGCGACTGTCACTTCTTAGTTTTGTTACATAGCCAGGGTTGCTACTGTCAAAAATATCATAACAGTAAAATCTGATGCAAGAACGTCATAAGATTCTGAGCCAATTTTAATCCAATAAATATGACATTAACATAACATAACAATATTCTTTATTGCACATAAAACATACAAACAAAGTAATAAAAAAGAAGACATAACAGAGTACAATTTGACATTCGTAGCAACCATCTTCTTAGTTACCTTGAGTTCCTCTGAGATTCCAGTTATTTCCAGTTAAAGTGAGTAAGCGTCAAAATCGTCGCTAGTACTCAGTGAGACATCTGTAAAGGCGCCCGTAGCCCTAATTTATGGTTTTACGCACATACACGTAAGTAGGTACGTATTAGATGATAATTGTCACAAATACTAACCGCGTGATAGTGCAAATGGTCAGTTGATTAACATGACAACGTCATTCAAACACTTACCAGCGAAGTGATAATCCAATAGTAATCGATCATTCACACACAATCGACCTACATAGGTCAATTCATTATGCATCATTTGCATTGTAATTGGTACAAAAGTACCTAGGTACTTAATAAGTACATAAGTACTACTTATAACTCTAAAGCAAACTAAGCAATTACTAAGGCGCAAGCTACACAGAGCAGACGTAAGATGGCATATGTCAAACAAGTGATCGTCGGACACGTGAGACGTGCGAAACTTGAAACAGTTTCCATATAAAATGTATGAAACAGAAGAAACAAAGCTACACACTTGTCTGACATATGTCATGTTGCGCGTCGCGTCTCGTGTCTGTTCTGTGGCACCAGAAGAAGCACACTCATTAACGCATCAAAATTAAACATACACACGTATATCACGCCTATATTCTTTGCCGGGTAGGTAGAGCATAAACGGCCATTTACACCATATCTGACAAAAGTTTCAGAGTCATTCAGAAGACTATGTATCACCATAGAGACAGTTTGTTCCCCTGTTCCACCCAAAATTGCACTACACATCAACTCTCAAATCCCTTAGTAGCTCCTTACGACACCCACGGGAAAGATGTGGGGTGATGCTATTCTAAGCCGGCATTACACGGCCTCGGTTTAGTAAAGACTAACCTAATAATAACTTTGTATAGGTGGAAATTTTTGAAAGATATTTCTGCACGCTGAGAACTCAACTAAACTCCTCATCAGAAAAATCGAGACATTTAGCAAGTTTACGTTTTGGATCGTTTTGTGTTTCACGGTCACGGATCACATTTTCTGAGACATACCTATGTTATTTTGGAATTTTCTACTGTAGTTCAATAGTAAGTATTGCGAGATTTCAAAATCCTAATATATATTTTTTACGTTCAACTTTTAATTCCATAGATTTCATATTTAATTTGACTAAGAAAACGAAAATGTCTCGGTGTTTCTGATGAGAAGTGTAATCTAAATATAACGTATACAGAGTATGTTAATTAACTGGCAAATAATCAAGGTTATACACGTCATTATCAAAGTGCGTCTTATCATTTACCAGGGAATACTTTTTTTATTATTTCACCGACTTCAAAAACAAGGTTATCGTTTCGTCCAAATTCGAAAACATCAAAACTGGTGTACTCGACTGGTGTGGTTGGTTACTGACTGCCTTAGAAGGTGGATTTTGTTTTTCGAGAGTATGTATGTACGTACCTATGTGGAATAGCAATTATTTTTCACGGGCTGCATCCCAAACAACATTATATATGGTGTCGATAGATTCATCTTAATAGTGCTAGTGACACTGGATATTATTAAAATTTCATACATTCAAAATGGCTGGCTTAAACGAAAAATATAACTTTGAAATTACCACAGTCAGGCTTTTTATTTTCAATACATCTGCTTGTTTTCAAGTCGGTTTTATTTTTTTGCGAAATGATGATTTTAGTAACCATATCTAAGAAGATTTAAAACATTCTAAACTATTCTAAAGTTATACTAGTAACAGTGCTAATTTTATAAACCTACCATAATATTGACATAACAACCCACGTAGATAAGAATGTTCTAGAATGGAAATATATTGTCGCTAAGATAGTTTATTTGCGAGTTTATTTCAAGACTAGAGATAGCCGTGTGATGTCGGCTTAGAATAGCATCAACCCATATGTTTTCCGTGTAGCTTCGTCGTAAAAGCGACTAAGGGATTTGAGAGTTGATGTGTATTGCAATTTTAGGCGACAGGCTGAATTACTCTCAAACTTTTGTCAGACGTGGTGTAAGTTGCCGTTTTTTTACGCACTGCCTACCCTCCAAGGGATATAGGCGTGATATGTAATTAACAGTCGTTGAAACTGGAGGCGTTGCTAGTAATAAATACATACTTATTAAAAATTATGTTTTTTTTTCCTATTGATCTACATTTTCATATCTATTATCATGATTTCATATCACAAAAGAAATCTGTAGGTACACTTTTGTTTACGTATTTAGGTACTATGCACTTTAAAATGCGATTGACATAACTAGATAGATTAGATACTACACATAGGTATCTATGCAGTTCAGGAAAACAAACGTCAAGGAAAACAAAGTTCTTTATTTCCAATCTATAATCTTATCCGTAATCCACTTAATCGGGCAAAATAACATGTTTTGATGCGGTTTCTCGTATTGGACTTTGCCCACCTGCGCAAAACGTAAACATAGGTAGGTATATTACGTATTACACCGATTGTGCATACATATACATACTCGTACATACGTATAATATATCGGCTATTTCCCTTGCGGGGTAGGCAGAGTGCAAACGACTCTAAGAAAAAAGTTCTTATTTCTCAATTATCATTTTATATCTTAACAAAGTAAGAAGTGAAGTAAGTTGTACAATTCAAATGCCTCACTTTATGCCATCTCACTACCCTAGGTCTGCTGTAAGCTGACCTGTTGTGTATTGTTCTATATGTTGTGTTTTATTGTTTACAATAAACGGTTGAATAATTAAATAAAGTTGAGAGTCATTCAGAAGACTGCGTTTCACCATCAGAACATCACCATAGTGTTAGGTTGTCAGTCTATCGCAAAATTGCAATACACTCTCAAATCCCTTAGTCGCTTCTTACGACACCCACGGGAAAGATATGGGGTAATGCCATTCTAAGCCGGCACTACACGGCAATTTTACACGAGTACCACTCAATAACAAAATTGACGTAGTAGTTACTACAAAAATATTTTTAGTGTTTGAGTTCCGTAGTCGTCACTAGTTACTAAACTAAATAACAAAGTCACATCTGTTCACCTACAGAATATTAGCATTTAATCTGCCAAAAACATGTTAATGGTTAGCTGAATGGCGAATAAAAACATTACGTTTTCATTTTCACACATTCATGCAAACATACCTACACATACATTAATACATATAGTATAAAATGAAGTCACATTTGGTTATTCTCTGTCTGTCTGTCATGGAATTCGCTAATTACTCCTCTCTATAGCGTGTATTTTTATTAGTGGCGGATCCGTTAAGGGTGTGTTCTGTCAATGAAACTGAACAACTTTCCCCAAGGAACATAGGTCGAAATATGAAAAAAAATTTGGCCCTCCCATACTAATTGACCCGGCCGGCCAACACACTTAGTATGGGAAGACCAAAATTTTTTTTTGTATTTGGACCTATGTTCCTTGGGGAAAGTTGTTCAGTTTCATTGACAGAACACATCCTTAACGGATCCGCCACTAATAAAAATACAACCTATATTTTGTGTCTTGGTGTTCCGGATGACACGTCCAGCCCCATTTTAGATTAGCTGTTTTTTTCGTCACTAGTAACTTTTAGCAAACAAATCACATCTTTTACCCAGAAAAATATATCATCGATCACCTGCCAAAAGCAAACATTACGTTTTCACATAACCATAATAAACAAAGATGACCTTCATCTAGCAAAAGTTCGTCATGCTGTCGTGTTGCTGAGTCAAATGTTGGAACGTCGCCAATATCGTTTGGACTGTGAACGGTCATGAACGGAAGACTAAGCGATTAGTAATATCCGTCATCGTTGTGGGTACATGTAATTCTACATATATCACGCCTATTTCCTTGC